TTATACACGTTTTTTCTACACACCTTCTATGTGCAAGACTGTTTTCCAGATGAATAGAAACCTTTTTTCTGGTTGCTAGCAGGCCTAAGCTACAAATCATTTTTTAGACGAAAAAAGTGAATTTAATGTAATATTAAAATGAATTTGAAGGCATAGGAAGCATAATACATTAACCGAACTTAAACCATTCATTATCATATACTTTAAGGCACTGAGACACTGATATTGGATGATTGTTAATACAATATTTTTGATGAGATATTAAGTCAGCTTGGCTGAATACTGAAGTCTTGCGTATAGAAAAACAAATAATGTAAGATATAAGGGGGGTCTGACCAACTACTGACCCCCTTGTAATAAATTATGCCTGAAAGTAATCTGATCGACTATAGACTGATTGCTAAGAAAATCCTGCTTTGGCAGTCAGCATACTTTATTGGAATTGCAGTAGGATTGCAGTAAACCACGCGAGTAAATTGGTTCAAGTGTGATTAAACTCCCGACTCCCCTTGGGGACTCCATAGCAGAATTTGCTAGAGATTTGGCTGTACTAAAGCTTTCTCCTTGCTGGCATGGGCGAGCTGTGATTTGTTACGAAAGGAGTACCAGAGAATGATATTTCATGTGTTTGTCGAGGACATTTATTAAAGTTTATAGGATGTCTACAGTAAATAGGAAAATATGATATTACCTAATTATCTATTTTTCTATCCAATGAAGTTTGGACAGACAACCGACAGAATGCCGAATCTCGTCGAAGCCACCGAGGTTTTCACAGATAGGTCAAATTAACTAGTAAAATCTGCCACAAACTTCCTATTACGTAAAAGTGCCTGGTGGATTCTAGATTGATCGCTTAGGAAATCCTGACTAAATAAAGTGAACGTAAGATGTCTTTTCTATTTACTATTCTATGTTGTCCGCCCGGCATTGAGATACAAGTGAACTGGAGGTGTTCAGGACCGCACTGTCATTGTTTCCACTATCGAAAGTAGCGTACACAAATAAGTGCCCGTTCCAGGAAGAGACGTCCAGCCAACTATAAAAAATGTCGTCGCGATACAATTAATTAAGTAGGCATTTATATTCTTAAATATCAGGGATAGAAGTAAAATTTTGGTTGGTTTATTCATCCTCATCCTAGTTCGCAAAACTAAAAATGATGCAGCTAAACAGACGTCAGGCTGATGATGAGTAAGTATCGATTTTCAAATTAATTATTAACACTGTGCAACCGTTTTCTCTCACGAAACAGTTTGATTCAGGTTTGAAAAGGCAAGTTATCACTGACGAGGAAGCGTTGTGCGATAGTTCTGTAACGTAGGCTTTTGGTCAAGAAGTTATTAAGCGGCGCTGAAAAACTAAGTCAATGGCTTGAGCAGTTGTAATGAAGCGGACATTTTGTTAACTCCCACACTAAATGAACTGTAAGTATTCTTTGCTATCATGAGTATCATTCGCATAAAAAGTAAGCTATGGGACTTGGAAACAGTGTAAGACCTAACGAATGAATAAGTTGTACCTTTTACAGCACGGTTCACAGCAGCGATCATTCGGTATACATTGGGATCCATGTCGACAAGTCCAACTTTTATTTCGGAACCTGCAAAGGCAGTTTCAATGTATTTGTGAGCTTCTATGGCCGTCATTCGTTCCTCGTCCGTTGCACAAATGTCTCGCATGAGATAGCGGGCTGTTTCGATCTTAGCGGCAATCTCAACAGTCTTCTGATCACAATCGAGGCAGCCCAGACGGTCATACT